GGCAGCCCCCCCATGCATGGTCAGAGGCTGGGCGTAAATCTCCCAAGCCCAGCCTTCTTCCTGCCATGTGACTGGGTCTTCTGCACCCAGGGACCAGGTACAGCCAGTTGCTTCATTAGCTACCTGGCCTTATTGTCCCTGGCTCAGTCCACCTGGGATGATACTCCTTAGTACCTGTCCTGGCCCTGGGTTTCCTATCCTCTCAGGCCCTTCTAGTAACATGGCCAGGGGTTCCCTGTTACAAGCAGCCAGTGTGGTAGAATATTCAGAATAAGTCAGTATTGACATAACTGTTCATACTGGAAGTGGTAGAAGAGCTATCCCAATGGCAAATACTTGTTGAAAAATCCCAAATTATCTGACCAACGTAGGTATTTCTAAGGCAACAGTTACTTTGTGCTCATAATAGCTCAGACACTGCCTTGGCCATTACAGTATGTCTTGTTAAATGAAGGGATGTTAGCCAGGTCACTCTGATTTCCTTGTCTAATCCAGGTAGCATGATATCTCTAACTTGCAAATAAACAATCCTGAAGATCCTGGGGAACTTGAAAAGGAACAGGTCCATTACACTACTTGCTAGACTCAGTGGCCAATGCAGCGTTATTTTGTACATCCTAGTATCTAACATTTTGTTCCATAAAATCTGAAGTTTCTCAAGCACTGGGTCTTCTGCTGTTCCCCATAAGAGATTAATCCACAACCTAATCCAGGGTTGTCCAACTTCTGGGACATGGAGCGGAGGGGAGGAGGTGTGAGCCCCACAGATCCCCAAGCCGTACAGCAGTGTGGGCTGCACACTGCAGGGGTGGCCCTCACAAGTTCTCCCAGGCTGCTCAGATAGCTGCACCCCCTTTTCACCACACGCATAGCATGGGCAGCCCAGCTCCTTTCCTGGCCACATAGGCAACATGGTCTCTCCCTGAGCCCTCTCTTACTGTGCTACCCCACCCCCAGGGGCAAGGGGCAGGAAGCAGAAGCCAGAAGAGAGAGGGGAAGTCAGAGCCCTGGACCTCTATAGCAATAGGAGCAAGGGAAGGAGTGGTGGCTGGGCAGGAGCCCACCGGCCACATGTTAATCCCTTGCAGGTTGCATGAGATCTGTGGGCCACCAGTTCAACAGCCCTTATCTAATCAGTAGCAAAGAGAGATACCAGCATGCATTACAGTGTAAGTTTTCATAAGTGTAAGCTCAGCCCAGTAGTCAGATTTACCTTGTTATATGCTCCTAAACATGGTGCGAGTAAAAAGTAGCAACCTCTCCTCTATCATAGATGGACAGAAAAAACCTTGGTTCCCACATCACTCATTTATACTTATACATAAAAGTTTGACCTTTTCATTCTTTTTAACTTATAAATTGGTCTTTCTTTACCAAGGATCTCACAACGGTGCTGAGGAAGAAATGGGGAAAAGCATAATTTACCAGGAAGAAAATGAGACAGAAGTAACTGATGTTCTGTAAAGAGCCTCTAGCATCTTAGACAGTTTCTCCCATAAAGTGTAAAGAAACAGGGAAAAGAAAGAAAGGGAAGGATATTAAGATATTACAGATGCTTTTCGCATTTGTTATTTCGGGGGGGGGTTGGTTCCCATTGATGCCACAGGCAAATTTATAGGTGGATTGAGTTCTGGATTGCTGATCTCTTGATTTTGTTTTCACTTACTCCCACAACAGCCGTTTCTTTCTTGTTTTAATGCCTGGGAGGTATATGCACACTTGCTCACAAAAGAAAAATCTTGGGCAATACTGAAGTCATCTTCTTGCACAGCTGGATGCTGTCAGCTAGAGCATGTGTGACCCACATTTGCTCTCAAAAGTCAACAAAATAAGGGTTTTCACTGAGTTTCTTTGGATCAGATTAAAAAGTTTCCTAGTATTGAATTCCTAACTAGATAGGTTCAGCTAGGTGCACCAACACGGAGCAACCTGATTTCCATCATAC